TTTTTCACTTGTGCTTTTGAGTTTTTTTACAATATTGGTTGAAACTAATTTAGGCTTAGTGAATATAATGAGAAAATGTTGTGTTAATTTCTACATGCACAGCGTGCACATTGGATTTTGAGTTTACTTGCACTAGCTAATAACCTATGTGCATAGTGCAGTGTGCACCCGAGTATTTCGAACACTGCTATTTGACCTAAGAACACATGGCGGATATCCTACAGCATCAAACGTTTATACGAGACCGGAATCATTCGCTTACGATGAAACTAAGTTGACTTTTATTTGTATTTCATAACCATTCAACAAATTTATTTTGTGTACATTATTATAATCACTACTGAGTACAGTAATAATCAACAATTAAGAAACTCAGCATGCCGAGATTTTTGTGTTCGTTTTTATTTGAAACTTCGTTTATTTAGATTATATTTTCGTTACTAATAAAATAAAAATCTCTCAGTCAATCAGAAACCCGGATTCATGCCTTCGGGGAAGGTCCCGTTTGAACGCTCACATCGGTTTTTTTTTCGTTTGGGGGAAAACTAAAACTGGTCGAAATTTCTGAATAAGAATGAGTCGGCAATTTTTAGTGCAGTCGAAAATTTGGAGGTAAATAAAATACCGAAACCCGGCAAATAAATAGGCGTTCGAATTTTTAGGGGGGTCGAAATTTTGGAGTTTTCACGGTACTAATTATTCCATTTCAATGAAACTTAGTACAAAGATGCTCTAGGACAATGTACAAACCTAATTAGTTTGGGGTAAAAATCTGTTCATATTAATTCCCTAATAAGCATAATAATTCATAATTTTTTGGTTCTAATCACATTTCAATTAAACTTGGAGACATAGATTTGCTGTTACATTGCGCAGACCTCATTAGTTTTACACTCAAATCTGGTCATATTAATTTTCTGATTTGCATAATTACTTTTCAGCTAAGTAATTTCGAATTATATTTAATGTGTCTCCAATACTCTCAGCACATGGGAGTTCTTTCTAAGCTTTCTTTGATTAGAAGTTGTTTTCACAACAAACATTTATGATGGTTAAACGTTGTGTTGTGGGCGGATGCAGTAATACGTATA